TTTTTTATAGAAATCGTGGAGTGAAAGCAGAAATCTGTGTTTTCTGCTACTGTTAGAAAGTTTGTTTGAGTTCAAATTATGAACATGTCCGAAAGATGCACCTGGAGACACACATAGCAACCATGGAACCTTCAGCTCTGGTATTGGAACATGTGCATGTCATTTATTCATCATTATACAACACAAGACTGTATGACGAAATAAAAGTTTGTAGAAAAAGATATGGCCAAATGCAATATGCAAATTGCAGAACCAATATGCAATGTGTTCTCCAGATTTAGGAAAAAAAAAGTCAATTAAATTTGTGATGCAAAAATAAAAATTCCCAAACTCATTGTGACTCATATCAGCCAGCATCCACACTATTGTTCTCTAAATCTTTATTAATTAATTAACTTAATCAACTCTAGCTAGAGTTCACACTGATCAGTATGGATCTAGTCCCTGGCTTACATTATGTAGAACCATTTGTAGACTCTTTTGTACTAAATGTCTCAAAAGCACCCCACCATTAAGCTAATTTGTAACCTGTTTGTGTAAAACCAAGCTAATATTAGGATTAGTTTTTAAATAATAATAAATAAGCATATGGGTTATGGATGATGGACGTATGTCATGTTGTAGCCCAATATATTGTCAGATAGATGAAGCCAGACTAAATGACAACTTCTGTCTTAAAACAGCAGATATATAAATATAACATTACTTTTATTCGTGTACAGTTTGTTAGTTTTAATCCCTCTTTGTCCAAGCGTCTGGAAACTTTATTACAGTTTACAAGAAGTAGGCAAATCCATACAGATAACCTTTTACCCAGCGAAATGTCTGCCAGACTTTTATCCAACTATAGTAAATAATTGTCAAGTGTTCACTATATCACAGTCAACACCTTTCAAATTCAAATCTCTTGCAGGCTATTTGCAATTTTCAGGCAGTGTTTTGTGTAAAATAATTAGGCTAATAATATATAAATATTAAATATTATGTAAATATAATAAAAATATCCCAAATATCTTTTTAAAAATGTTAATTATGAGCATATAAACCATCAGAAATAATAAGGATTAACTGTAACATACATCACTCATGGCTTATATGTCCAAAAAGCTTTAGGTTTCCTTATTTAAACTTGGTAACAGTCAAACGTCATTCACAGTGAAAATGTCAAATGTTGCCAGTATTGGGTTTTAGGGGTTCGGAAAGTCTCAGTAGTAAAACACAAAACAACATTGTCTTAATAAGTGTACAAATCTCACATTTTCCATGAAAAAGTCCTTTGGTCAGAGACAGTAGGTCCTAGTAAAGGTCCAGTTGCAAAGAGTCGCTGGTTTTTGAAGAAATCGTCAGGTGAAAGCAGAGATCTGTGTTTTCTGCTACTGTTAGGAAGTTTGTTTAAGTTTAAATGATTAACATGTCTAAATGATGCACCTGGAGACACACATAGCAACCGTGGAACCACCTTCAGCTCTGGTATTGGAACATGTGCATCAGGAACAGCTCTCCTGGAAACGGTTATTCCAATCAGCATGGTGATGTCCGGACAGAGCAGAGACCAAGTGCATCTTTAACTATGAGGAACTTAAAAATGTCCACAGGTGGACACCAAGGCGGGAGGGGGGGCAATGGCTGTTGATGTTGCCACAGGTTGCACAATTAATCAAGAAATCAAGGACATGTATTCATCATTATACAACAGACTGCATAACAAAATAAAAGTTTATAGTTCCTCCATGCTATACACATAGAAATGTTTTTACCATGTCGTGCAACCCTATTCCCCACCAAAGTTACATATCCTACATGTAGCTTTAAAAAACAATTGTAACTAGTTACAAATTAACTAGTTGATTAATTTATCAACTCTAGCTAGAGTTCACACTGATCAGTATGGATCCAGTCCCTGGCTTACATTATGTAGAACCATTTGTACACCCTTTTGGACGAAATGTCTCAAAAGCACCCCATTTAGAACAATTTGGTTAAGATAATTTGTGACAAATAAAACCTGGCTCTATAGTTACGTGCTGTCAATGGATGGTTGAGCTCTCTTATTATGTGCTGCGGCTGGGAGTTTTCCTCCCTGGACTGGCTCTATGAACTGTTGATGAGTCCTTCCCATTTGTAAAGCAAGTTGTAAAAACCATTAAATCGATTAGTTCACCAATCAGTATGTTAATTCACTTCCTAGCTGATATCTTGATGAACACAGTATTACTTCATGCTAAACCCACAAATGCCACCGGGGATTAAACAGAAAAAGGCTCTCCACTATTTTGGACAGGCCTAAAATATCAAGTCACTATAGTATAAAAGAAGTGTTTTGTGTTTTAAAATCCAGGCCAGGGTTGAAATGAGATAGAAATACTGTGGTAGTTTCTTGAACTCAAGGTGGCTGACTTATAGTGTGAATCACCCCAAAATCTCAGAAATCAGTTCTGTCAACTTAAAAACGTAGTCCCATCTGAAATCTGTCAATACTTCTGTGCCCTTTTTTTCAGGACCTATTATGACACAACAATATCAGTTTAATACCGGTTGGAGCTTTCAGTCATATCACATCATCTTCATCAGCATGTCTGTCTGACCTTTAAAGTAAACTTTGCTGAAAGCTCCAGAGCAGCTAGTAAATGGACCTTGAGGTGAGTTTGTCAGTTGTTGTTTCCAAGCTTAGATCAATGCCCCTTTAGTGTAACCTATGCTCATTGGGATTTTCAAAATGTTTGTTAGGAGGATTCAGCCACTAGATGGAGTCATTGACAAGTGAACCATGCGGTGCTGCGCAACGTGTTGGTGTGTTGAAAGGAAATTGAATGAAAGACTGATAAATATTGAATTCACTGTGTTGACCTGGAAGTTTGCAATACTCATATTTACATGTGTTTGTGTGTATTTGTGTTTTCGTTTGTGCTTGTGTTGTCTTATTTACCTTTATTTGTATTTGCATGTTTTTTTAATTTGTTTATATTTGCTTGTGTTGCTTTATCAAGCTTCATTTGTGTTGTCTTGTTGCATCTGTCATATGTTATTTATATTGGCTTGGATCTTTTTGTTGACTGTTGTATATGTTTGTGTGTTGTATTTGTTTCCATATGTGCTTGATGTGTGTTTGTATTTGTGTTTCTCTTTGTACTTGTATCTGCGTGTGTACAGGTGTACTTTGTGGCCCTTGTGGACCCTCGACATGATTAGGGGTCCAGCAGGAGTCTCGGAGCAGGGAGCAGCGGCACAGAGGAGCTGATGGAGTCCTGAGCCTGGAGCTGGTTTCTATTGTCCGCGGTAATTGGATTTGGTCTGGGAGGAGAGATGGCTGCCAGTGAGAGGCTGCGGTCATTAGGTGTGAATGAGACGTGTGGTGCCAGGGCTGAACACACACGCACATTTATTTCGTATTGAGTATTGTGCTGTTCAATGGACACCAAATACACACACACACACACACAGACACTCACACAAACGTGTCCACACTAATCCAGATACATTTGAAATAGCTGTTTTCATGTCAAACACCATTCTGCCCAAACATGTGTTTTCGGATCGTTTTCTAAAAGCTCACCTCCTCACTCAAACAATAGAACAAACAGGACAACAGTTCATGGTCTTCTGCCATGATAGTGGGACACAGGCAAGAGAAGAAGCAAGATTACCAGTTAAGACTTTTACTGTAAGGTCTTTTGTGGTTCCACAGCGAGCTGCATGACATCTGATAAATATCCTCAAGTGATGTCTCTTGAGTCAGCGTTGGTTGGTTGAAATGAAAAAAGATCTGGACGTGTTGAGTTAGAAGGTTAGAGGAGAGTTTACCAATCCTCTTTAGCTCCGCTCCTCATCTGCTTAGCAGCTGGAGATTATATTAGCCACTGCTAGCGTAACACACTTTAATCTCTGACTGAACTCTTTTTAAAACTGTCCATCTTGAATCTAACAATGTTATAGGAGTGCAGTTCTAAATCTGCCTGAGCAAGTAGATTAGCTCAGGAAGAACGTAACCAACGGCCTGGAGTATCCAATAAGGCATATCAACATCTAGTCCTACACAACAGATCTGTGGAGCAGCAAACAGACAAACACAAGCACAAGAAAAAAAGAAACACCACTTTGCTGCAGTTTAAACAACACAAATATGTAGATATTTCTATATACTAGTGGTCATTGCTTTTTGTGTGCAGTATACACTTTTGTTCTATTGTTCTGAATCTTTTTTTTTTCTGAATGTGACGCATTTGTTGTCAAAATAGTGAAGACGTCTGTGTCGGTGGGTCCTCTTGTGGCAGGGACAGACTAGGATATGCTTCCAGTAATAGAAATTTAAGAGAAACTGGCAAAGTCTTTTAGATTTTACTGCAAATTAGTAGATAAGAGAATTATTATAATTGCACAGACATTTATTGCGCCGATGCCACCTTTCTACTTTGAGGACCTAAATCTTTCTTCTATAATATTGAGCACCCAGTTTTTGTACACTTGTTGTGACTTTTGAGAAGTTTAGTTTGACAAACCGAGTCTGAGATTTCCTAAAAATGGTCACAGTAAAGATAAACACTTTGATTCCTTCGATGCCATGCACACTGAGGACAAAGCTGAGATTTTTAGTGGTAAGAATCGAGGGCTTTAGATTTTGTCTACCATCACTTACATTGAAAGTGCATTAAGAAGAGATCTATCAGAGACCAGTATGAACAGGATAAATGATTAGAGCAAGCAAAACCTGTTTCAGTGTCACATAGGCACCTGAATATGGTTTTAAGACAGACTGTGAACCTATCAGCAGTACTTTTCCCCATAAACATATATAGCATAACACTCAAAGTGTTTCAGTTGTTGCCCACTAAACCTTCACATTAGGATTTACAACAGAAATGATCATGCAAGTTTGTTGTACTTTTGTTCCCTTTGAATTCCAGGAGCATTGAGGGACGTGTGTGATGAAGCAGTAAACATGTTGTGTTCGAGGAGAGAAGAAGATTTGCATATTAAAAATGTACCTGTGTTTGTGTGTGTGTGTGTGTGTGATGGTGTGTGTGTGTGTGTTTGCAGGTCCAACTTAATCTCAGCGAGGGACAAACATTTACTGAACACACACATACACGTGCGTTGTTTCCATGGGAACCAAGCAGCCACTCTGCTCTTCAATAGCGACTGAGTGAGTCGAGGTAGATGGCTATTGTGTTGTGTGTGTTTGGGGGGTCAGGGTGGCGGTTCGAGAGGGGCTGGGGGGGCAATATTAAACAACGCACTAGACAGATGAAAGCACTGCACATCCTTAAATCTAATCATAATTTAGTCATCACTAGAAGATGGTATGATCAAAATAAAGAAGGAAATAGGCAAGACTGACAGGACAGAGAGAGACCTGAGTGCACGAGTCAAGGGAAGGGGGATGTGAGATTGCTGTTAGATGGAAAATGATGGAGCCTCACGGACAGAGATGGTCTTATTCCTAAAGTTGATGCTTATTTGTTGCATCAATCCCTATATCCAGGCACAGGCACTTAGCCTAAAAGGATTTCTAAAGCTCAGACACAGCTACGCTGCCACAAAGACACTGGACTATAAGTCATAACTGCCAATATCCTGACTTCCATTCATGCCTTTTTAAAGCTTTTTAAAAATGTAAAATCACGACAAATTAATGTAAAATCACGACAAATTAAATTACAAAAGCTGAATAGAAATGGCATTAAAATGGTCTGAATGTAATAAAAATCTACTCCAAGGTCCTGAGCTCATTGAATTTAGAAAAGGATTTGTCCATGTAAAGATGTTGTGTTGTATACTGCAGAATGAATCTCAAACATTGGATGGCGTTCCTCTTTTCATTCACTTGCTTTTTGCTAAACATGTTTCCAGAATTAACAAATTCTTAAGAAAAGAAAAGAAAAATCAGAACATCACTTAAATCTACCAATTTATACCTGACACATCTCGGACTATTATCCTGCAACAATGCTGCAGAGAGAGTAACATAGTGGAGCCCATTAGGGCGCCCTGGCCCTCCTCTCCTTCACTGGGGAGAACTTTTGAAACAAATTCAGACAAAGGGCATTGAGAGAAAGGATGAGAAGAGGAAGAGGCCCAACTGGGGTTTTCTCAAATGGGCTTTTGAAAGCTGATAAGGATATTTCTTGGATTTCAGCTGATCAGTCATTTGAGCTTAAATAATCAAATTTACCCTTTTCCTAACAAAATATTCATAAAAAGTCATTATCAGCATTTGCTTATGCCTGTGAAACAGGATTTATCAGTTATCATGGGACAACATTTCTCTATTTGAAACAAGGCCATTATTAATATTGTTTAATAATAAAACGTAGTAAAGTTATATTATTGATGATTTTGCACAAGGTGGTTATGCGAAGCTAGTTTAATGTTAATCTAAAACTGTTGTTAGAGCAACAAGTGCTTAAATCCAAACCTGCAGAAGTGCAGCTTATTGACAGTTAGCTGGATCATGACCAAGACATTTTAGGGTGAACTTTACATAAACAGATTTTCATATACAAATGTCTCTTTGTCTTAGGTTTGAGAACATGGTGATTAATTTCACAACACTGAAAAAATAATGTATGTGCAATGTTTAAAATACAATTAATTAATTTCTTAATTAAGAAAATACAATTAACTTTTAATTAACTATTGAACAAATTAAAACTAGATTCTGACACAGATCCCTCTTAGAGACAGGGCCTCAAGGGGTGCAGCAGTGCAGGAGGTTTTCTCAAACTGATCTAATACAGATCTCATTCAGATTTAATCAATGAAGCTGCATGACTAAGATATTTGACGGGGACAATATTGATTCACAAAGATGTGTTTTTGATAAAGGAGCTCTTTATGGCCCCATATATCGATTTTAGTCTATGTTGGTAAACAGGTTGGAGGAGAATTACTGTGTCCCTCTTGAAAGATGTTTCTCTCCATTGGACTGACACTGACACTGGGAGCTGGGGCAGCTTCAAGCAGCCCATTAGAGGGAAACTATTCTCCACCTTTGCTTTGTCCTCCACTCTCCAGTCCCCTTCCCATCGTGGTCAAATTCATCTGTGTAGACGATTGTCACGACCTTCCTTTGTGAGATTAAATAAATGCACCACCTACTGCGGTATTTATTACACCTTTTAGTGATTTTTATCCCATTTCATGATAATGAAAATAATGGAAATGGCCGGTGTATAACAAAATAGCCTTAATACAGAACACATTAGTGAGAGACAAAGAGTGGGTGTTAGGGAAAATGTAAAAAGCTCATTAGATTTGGTAAAACTTTTCTGAACCCCGTGCAGCCTTTGGGTCATTAGAGATGGCAGTGAAATGAAGAATAATAGAAAACAAAAGGGCTAGCATATTTGCAACATGTCATTTGAACTGAAACTTCAAAAGGTTTTTAGGTTTTTAAATTAAACATTTAATAAATATATAAATAAATATATATATAAATTTATAATATCACCCTGTGATAATAAGAAATTACATTTGGTTGGTGTGAGTTGAATGTGACAGGGGTGATGATGATGATGATGTTTTTGACAGTTTAGGTTTTAAGGGTATGTGTCGTTTTGTTTGTCATGTTTGCCTTAGTAATTGCCTTAACAAATATATATATATATGTATTTGCTTATTTATCTATTTATCTATTTGTATTTTTATCTTTTCCCTTACTGTGAGGATTTTCAGGGGTAAATATTTAAGATTGCAAAAGAAACACCTGCAATATGCAAACGTAACCTGATTCTTTCATAAATAAAATGATAAACAAAAATAGTCAAGTTTGGACTTTTTTTTTTTTATCATTTCCCGAATAATTCCACTATTTAGTGGTTCATTCAAATGATTTTTTATTATAAAATGCTGGCTCATAAGGACTTGCATAATGTACTGATTGGTGAGTGTAAACAATCAATACCACTGTGAACACGGAACCTTTGTCCTGCAGCCGCAGTTGAATTCAGGGGACTTTATCTGTGACGGACTGTCAAAATGACATAGTGGTAAACACAGTAAGGTGAGTCTCGGTTTCTGTTTTACAGCTTGCGAACGGCACCGGTTCCACCACGGGACAGTGCCCGTACAGACCCGCTGGTGCTGGAGGGTTACGGCTGCAGTGAGCGGGAAGGTTTCCTCTCGCGGTAAAGTGACATTGCTCAAGGATGGAGAGAGAGGCTAGCGTTAGCTGCTAGCTGGCTAAGTAGCCCCGGCTCACATGAGCTGGGGATAAAAACAGGCCGTATTCAGCCAGCTTTCTGAATACTTCACCGACTTTAAACATGTAGCTATGAACGGTGTGCGTGTCGTGATAAACAGGGCCTATTATCGAGCTAGCTCATGTAGCCAGTGGATGTAGCTACCCGAAAGGCTGACCGTGACTTCACCTCTGTCACTGTTTACTGCTGGGATGCTGACTGTGTGTTTGTGGAGAAAGGCACTGAGGCTCGAATCCGGTTGTTTGTTTTTTTTGGTTTCTAGTTGCTTCTGGTGTCATTAAACACAAGTAGTATCATTGTGTAACGTTACTTAAGCTATTAAAGATGAGAAAAACCAACCAGAGTTAGAGCAGAGGACCAGAGAGACGTTCAAAGTCTAAACACAAGCTGCCACTTTCTCTTGTAAAAAGTGGGAGTGACATTTTCAGGTGGGTCAGGTTTGTCATTCCACCTATGAACAAAGTACAGCTGGAGTGTGATTGCTCTCAAGGCCAGGATATAAAAACATTAAAAAAACACCTGACAAAACATAAAAACAACAACTTTTTATGAGTGCATGAATTGGGATAATATGCATATAGCCCAATAAAAACACGAAGCGAGATATAAATGCATAAACTTTTACTCATGCACATATCTGATCTGCAATAAAGATAGTGTAATGTGTAAAGGTTAATTAGGCAATATCACATGAAATAAAAATGCATTTTGTAGTACGTAAATCTGCACAGAAACACAAACTGCTGTCGCCTTGTTAGAGACCTCTGAATCTCTGCACATCGCACATTTCCTCAGTGATTGCAATGAAGAGAAACAAAATGGCAGTTCGGTCTGATCAGGCCAAATTAGATGCATCATAAGCAATGTACACGTTTAGTGACGGGAGTGAAAGTTGGGATAAGTATATACTGGACAAAATCAATTAAATCTGTACTTGATTTATTGATTTTTGTCCATTTTGATGTCTCCAGGTCATATTTTAGACACACACTTTGTTCTTAAGTTCACATAATCACTGATCAAAAGTATTCTAATCTGTGCTCTCATGGCTAACGTTGGCTGCAGGCTTGACAGCATGCGTGAGTGAGTCGACAGGAGTTGAGTTGGGAAGCTCGATGAGTGACTAACCCTGATGACGATGCTCAGTTGGGTCAGAGCTGGAGCCTCAGGCAGATGATGTCATGGTAAATATGTCGGTATATGACTACACAGGTTGTTAAATTAAAAGGTGAATCACTTTTAGTGATCAGTACAACAGTGGATGTCTCAGCAAAGCTGCTACCCTTGTGTTTTTGCAACTAATGCTTTGTAATTATTAGAGATTGATTACACACACA